ATGCACGGCCCTGAATAGACTGTGATCTTTTCTAAAGGAGGGTTTGCGTTTTCTTCCTCCTTGTGGTTGGTGAGTGCTTCAGACACACCAAGGGCTCCCACCTCTATTTACTTATAAGGAACGAAGGGCTGAGTTCAATGTACGCATTCACAATTGATTGATACTGGCGACACTCGGAATACTGAGAGAGGTCAAGGGCATGTTCTAAATATTCGTTTTGCTCCACTATTCTCGGGGGAAACCAAATCTGGCTTAGGACCAGGGACCTCAGGCCCATTCAATTTTCTCCATCCATCTCGTGGAAACACGGCTGGCTGACAGTTTGGTGAGAAGTGATTTGAGGATAAAATGTTAATTCCCTGGTGTAACACTTGTAATTATTTCTTTTTTATGAAGCTCTTTATTCAGCCTATTTTTTGGGGGGGGATCAGTGCTGGGGATGGAACCCGGGACCTTGCATGTGCTAGGCAAGTAAGTGCTCTTCTACCACTGAGCAACATGCTTAGCCCTCTTTCGTGTTCTTACAGAGAGACACATCAGCATTTAACTCTCAAGCTTTGCGTAATTCATAGTCCATCAACAGGAACCAATGACCAGGACTGGCTTCATGAACTCTCTCCCAAGGGTTGCACAGGTATCCACTGTCAGAAGAACCTCATACAGAATTTCCTACCACTGAGTTCATCTTGAGTAGGTCTGAGTACAATGGTCTGAAGCCAGATTTGGTTTCTCCTGAGGACAATGATGAATACAGGCTGGATCTTGGGATGTTCTCTGACATCTCCTAACACTCTCAGAGCCATTAGTATCAATCAGAGAGCAAATATATATGTTGGACTCAACCATTCATTCATTTATGCATCAATAATAAATAACCCCTGGTTTGTCAAAGGCACTGAAATATAATGTTGAAAAAATTCAGCCCCTTCTCTACAGAGCTTATAGTTCAATCAGGGTCATGCTTTGTAGGACACAGTTATTTTAGTGAATTATGAGCATCTGGAATTCAATATAAGTGCAAGTGCATGTGCACGTGTGCGTGTGTGCATGTGTGTGTGTACCTTACTGTGAACAGCATTTAAACCTGATAATCAGGTTCCCAGAGCCTTCAAAGACTGAAAAGTAAAAGGCACTGGTCGATTGTTTGTTGGGTGTTGAAATTTCATATACAGCAGAGAAAGCGCTAATGTCTCACATGAAGTTCTGCTTTGAGGACCAGGCCCTCGGGGCTGTCCCTGGAACAAACCCACTGTTTTAGGGGCAGACTTCACGGACTCATCTTTTTACAGTGACCAGAAACACAATTGTTCTGGGCAGGAAATCGGCTTCACCAATTTTAATTGGAACCTACAAGATCATTTTATAGGTGCTCCCGTGGACACTAAACAAATGACGATATATGCAGGAGCTATAATGTCCATATAATACTTAATTATAATGTACAAGATCTGGTGCCCCATGAAAAACACCTCCACGTAAGGGGCCATAATTATCTTTCCCACTGGAAATGCTAACTCTTGAATTTTGCATACATTATAATCCAGAAAGAATTGAAAGGAGGAAAAAAGAAAGGAACAAAGGAAGGGAAGGAAAGAAGAGGAAAGGAAAAGAAAGGAAAGGAGAAACAGCCCTATAGACCAGTGGTAGGGAACCTATGGCATATACATTATTTGTTTTTATTTGAAGACAAAAGATGCTAACGTAGGAGTTATTTTTTGTCTTTTCCTAAACTAAAGCCTTAGTGTCCAGGTTTCAGTGCAGTGTTAGCTCTCGGTAATAAATAAGTGGGTTTTGGTTTACAGTTTTGGAAAATGTCTCTGGAAGATTTTCCATCACTGCTCCTGATGCACAAATCTCAGCTCTGAGCCGGTTTGGCTGCAGCACAGGTTTGCTTGATGTGTAGATTACTCCATGTGACTGGCAGTAGGGCTTCACATCCTACTGTTTGGAGACAGATTCATCTGGTCAACTAAATTTTCTGAAAAGTTATTTTTCCCATTTTACAACCCAACTTTGTGTTTTCTTTGCAGCTACTTGCTTCCTGGGGAATATGATGTATCAAAAACTTATTTCATTCAATAAATATTCACTGGGCATTCACTATGCCCTGGGCAAACACTGTATGCCCAAAGGACTGACTGTGGTCCATAAAACAGACCGAGCAGAGGCTGTCAAGTATCTGTTTTCATTTATGCTACCGAAAACGGTGTGTATTAGTTGTTCCCACTTCCCTGTATCCCTGCCAGCACTTGGTGTTACCAGGCCTTTTAATTTTGAAGCTTGCTAGAAGTGAAATGGTGAATCATCATCTAAATTTCTACTCAGTGAGGTTGAAAGTTAGCTGCCACTCACCCTCATCTTCTTCATGTTTTCTATATATATTGTTGGCCTATATGTCTATCGAGCTGTTTTACTTACCGATTTGTAAGAGTTTGTCATACATTCTGGGTTATTTTAGGTCTGGTTTCTAGAAGTAAGCCCTTGTATCAGTACTACAATTAAAACAACAAAGAATTTAGGAGCTCGGGATTTAGCTCAGTGGTTCTCCCACCTGCCTCACAAGTGCAAGGTCCAAGTTAAATCACCAGTACCAACAAGAAAAAAAAAAAAAGATTTAAAAAGGATTTATAATGGAAGTGTATATTTATAGGAGAAATGTGAGAGAGTATGAAAGAAATAGGAAAAGGGAAGAAACAAAGCAAGAGTGTACTTCCAAAGTGTCACAGAGCTGGTCTGTGCCTGACCCCCAGGGATCTCTGTGGGGGACTCATTTGTCACTGACCAAGAGCTGTGCTAGAGAATGTACACTCCTTGTGTTTCTAGCTCTCTATATACATATGAGGCCAAAAAGACCTTGGTTATATTTTTAAGAGCTAGAGGTGCTGACTTTTGGAAATAAAGACACTCTGGGATCAAGGAATGGAATACACAAAAATGGTGAGGAGGAAAACTGGGTATGGTAGCACATGCCTGCAATCCCAGGACTCAGGAGGCTGAGGCAGAAGGATTGCCACAAGTTTGAGTCAACCTCGAGCTACACAGCGAGTTCAAGGCCAACCTGGACAACATAGCAAGACCTCATCTCATAAAACAAAGCCAAGCAAAAATAGTAAAGAGGGGGAAAAAATAGTAAGGAAGAGTCTAAGGTAGGCTGGAAAACTGGTAGCATCCACTAAAGCCACTGCACTATAAAAAAATAACTCAAATTCCGTATTAGTTCAAGGAATACAATCTGTCTTAGTCACTGGGACAAAATACCTAACACCTGCAACTTAAAGGAGGAAAAGAGGTTTATCTTGGCTCACATTTTCTGTTTGTGGCAGTGGGGATACGAGGGGTTGAACCCAAAGCCTCTCTCTGAGCTACATCCCCAACCCTTTTATTTTGAGACATCTCACTGAATTGCCCAGGCTGGGCTTGCACTTATGGGCATCCTGCCTCAGTTTCCCAGAGTGCCACCACACCCAGCCTGGCTCATGTTTTCAGTCCATGGTCAGCTGGCTCAAAGGCAGAAACAGGACAGCAGAGGGGTATAGAGGAGGAAAAGCTGCTCACATCACGGGGGCCAGAAAGCACAGAGCAAGAAAGGAGCTAGGAGAGAGACACCCTTCCTGGTCACGCCCCTAGCTTTTCCCATCAGTCCCCAAGTCCCAACAACACATCCGGGGTCCAGTAAGTGTCGTGTGATCCAGTCGCCTGCCAAACTCGAGACTTCTGAGGCAATCTTAGATATAAAGCACCACACCATCTACAACAGTAAGATCCCTTCCACCTATCATATTCGCAAAGATTTAAGAGATAAGCATCTACCCATACGATAGCAGTAATGAGAGGAGCTGCATACATTGCTGTTGGAAACATAAATTGGCTCAAGTCCTTTCTGGGGAAAATATTTGATAGAAGCTATCAAATTTTAAAATCCCATATTGCTGGATGCAGTAGGTCCTTTCCTAGGAATTTATCTTCTAGCCACAGTCACTCAAAGCAGATTATGTGTAGAGTACAGAACTTTAACTCTTTAACTTAATATGTGTTGGAACTTAACGCTTCAACAACGAGCACTTATCTCCTTAAAATTGATCATGAAACAAAATTTTTTTAAAAGATGCATAAGACTTCTGGGTGTGGTGGCACACACCTGTAACGCCGGCACTCTGGGAGGCTGAGGCAGGAAGATCACAAGTTTGAGTCTAGCCTAGGCAAATTAGCAACTTAATGAGACCTTGAATCAAAAACAAACAAACAAACAAATAAATAACAGGATGGGGATGTGACTCAGAGAAAAGGTTCTGGGTTCAATTCCTAGTACCACCACCAAACAAAAAGGCTCAACTGTTTCTAGGAGCCCAGCACCTCTTTCCTCTTTCAATGGAAGGCTTCTGCTAAGAGTATTTCCATTTCCACAGTGGGGGTAAAGGTATCAGGACAGAGAACCAACAGACTCAACAGAGAAAATAAATGGTCACAAGATGGGCGTGGTGGTGCATGCCTGTAGTCCAGCACTCAGGAGGCTGAGGCAGGAGGATTGCTTTGAGTTCGAGACCAGCCTGGGCTACATAGTGACTTCCAGGTCAGTTTCAACTACAGAGTGAGACCCTGTCTCAAAAAAAAAAAAAAAAGTGGTCACAGCTCAAACCCAGAATGCACAGCAACCTGTTGTGGATTTAGTTTTGAGAACAAAAGATACGACATTATACTGTTAACAACAGAGGTGAGGGTAAGAATCCTACAATTGTGATGTAGCGTTAAATCTGTCAGGGTGTCGGTAAGGGATACCTACCTTTAAAAATCTCAGTGGGCTACTTCAAATAAAGTAGAAAGCAGAATTCTGCAGACATTTAGAATGTTGAAGGCCAGGATGTGAGCCAAACAATTGTTTGCCTACAGAATTTTCTTTCTTTCATTGTCTGCCAGGAGGTTACATAAGCCTCTCTCCAGTTCCACCCAAACCCTCAGTCAGAAGAACATACACAAATAATGAGAAAGAGGCGGCTCGGAGTGGAAACTCAATTGTATTTATTTTTCTTATACAGAATCAGAGAAATAAAAACCAGTACCAAACTCCAGGTAAAACAGTTTGATCTGATTGATTTGGTTGCATACTTTCTGTACGTACAACATTCAAAATTAAAAATAAACACGCATATGTCATATTACAAAATGTAGAAGTAAATTCTTTAAAAAGTTAAAAGTACTAGCACAGAAAGGATGTAGTGTTAGGGTCTCTGTCAATCATCCATTTTCCCGCTCAAATGGATTTACAATTTCCTTTTTTAAAAACAGCTTATTAAAAACAAATACACATTGTACTTTCAGAAGTTACTAACTGTGCGATGAGAATGGCGCCAGTCACAAGCACAGTCCCCCACTGCAGCACACCCTTCTCCTCCTGCACCGCTGTTCTTCCAGGGCCGAAAGCACCACGGTACACTAAGGTGTCTGCAGCGTCCACGTTTCCCATGTCCTTTGTCATCAGTGAAAGAAAAGGCACTTCACATCCCAGATACTACAGTGACATGTGGGCTAACTGTGACTGAGCTGTAACAAAATCACCAAAAGGTTTGGACAATTGATTTGGGACAAGAAAATGTATTTCACCAGGAAAAAACAAAAAACAAGAAAACATCTTGAATAAAAGATCTCTGAAATTCCTTTTCAACACCACTTCTTCAAATATGCTTCTCGCACAGTGAAATTTCGGGGGGAGACGGTAAAACGGACTGGTGTAGGACTACAAAGACTAGGCATCTTGCAGTTGTCTTACAATAGGATATATAGTATAAATAGCACCTTATCATGAATTCTGAGGGGTTTAACACTCACAATGATAGGAAACGGTCATTTAGAAGTTGCTCTTGAGATCTGGGGCGTAGCTCTGTGAAAGAATGCTTGCCTAGCACGTGCCCTAGGTTGTTCAACCCCCAGCACTGAGAAAAACAAAACAAAACAAAAAGCTCTTACTTTAGATTTCAGGCTTGAATGCTGGTTAACAAAAGCCGTATTTTATGGCCTTAAAAATGACAAAAAATTACCTGCCTTTATCTATTATTGAACAAATAGGTTCCATATTTTATTCTGGAAAAAATATTTATTATATTCATTAATAAATGTTCCAACTAATTTCACTAAACAATTACTCTAGAATTTTCTAACGCCATGAGCTTACTAGAAAATAACTTCTAAAAGTTGGTGATATAAATCATCAATGATTTAACTGCTTAAAAGGGGGGGGTAATCCCTTTCTCTTACATTTAATTACCTAAAAATGCATCTATAAAAATATTTTTTAAAAATACAGTAACACTGCTGAGTTTTGTTAGGTCCCTTTCTTTTCCTTAGAATGTACAACTCTTTTTGCAATTTTTGCTTACAAAAAAAAAAAATGCTCCCTTTCAATTTAGTAGCAATATAAACATCTACCTTCACCCTCTCAGAGTGCTTGAGAGAGCAAAAGGAATTAGTGGAACATAAACCGTGTGTCCTTCGGGAGAGAGAAATCACTTGGGCATGCTGGAAACAACAGCAGGTCCTGCTCTTGTCTGCTTGTTGTTCAGCTACGGTGTGGACAGGCTACCACAGCCCCGCCCTTGCCTCTTCTCCCACGTGAAGCGTACCAAAGCCCTGTTTCCTTCTACAAGAGTCATTTGCTATGACAGTTGCAGTAGAAAACTGTTGCTTTGCTCTTTCAGGGTCACCTCTCACTCCTCCTGCTTGTCTTGCTATTGGGGTGCTACTACCCCTTGTCTGGTTCCATTTCACAACTAGTATCCCTCCCATTATATCCCATAACGTCACTACTTCACCTCTGACCTTTTCACGTGCCTTCTTTTCAATAAGATCAAATGTAGTCTGTACATCTATATTCTGATAAATCAAAAGGATCTTCGTTAAGGTCATCAGCAACCCCCACCCCATGGGAATTGAATGGTTCCTCTCAGAGACCTGGATTATTAAAGTTTTTTTTAATGTTAAATTCATAGATTATAAATAATGTCATTCAAAATATTAAACAGTTGAGGACTTCATGGGCAATGCAGGTAGACTGCATGCCAGGGGAACAGCATGTTCTCTCAGTCCTTAAAGCTAGTAATGTTTTTGGTTACATAAGAGGTATTGAATACATAGCTCATGCCTTTTTTATTTATTTTTATTTTTAAAAATTTATTGGTACTGGAGATCGAACTTGAGACCTTGCACTTGCAAGGCAGGTGGTGGCACCACTGAACTATCCCCAGCCCAACTCATGTCTTTATATACCGACTGTAGAAAACATGGTTAGGGTAATATACTTAGGAATCAATTTTACTGCGTTCAGAAACACGTCTCCACCATAGGCCCTCAGAGGGCATTTTTGTTACAAGCCAGTCAGAGATCAGCTTCATCCTTCAGTTTCACAGATAGGCTCATTTTAAACACTGGAAATCTTGAAAGCGAAATTGACAGGGCTTCAGAATTTGAAAAGCAACAGCTTATTGCATGTGCCATCGGGCTGAAGTCCCAAAGTCTTTAGAATAGTTTCAAAAGACACAGATACAGTTGCCACTGATTTATCAAAAACATTTGGCTGTCCTTTGTCAGCACCTATAAAAATAACAGTGTTTTCTAAATAAACATCAAACCCTAAGTTGCATTGTTAACAAATCCGTGTTGCAATTCAAAAAAAGTTTTGTTCCGTAAATATTCATCATTAGTACAAACTGGTCTCTTTCACAAGATCGCTAGGTAAGAATTCTACTGCTGCTGCTACTCTCCCGCTGGAAGGACTAAGTTGTCTAGAGGCTATGCAGTAAAACAATGAAAAATAAACTACAAGAGAACTGTCTGTGCCTTTGTAAATACAGAGTATAAGAGCCATCAGAGCTAGCATGGATTCCGAACTACAATGTATTCCGTACAGCAGAATGTTACTATCCATACAATGATTTTTAAAGCTCAAGTTAAATAGGTTTTAAAGCATTGGGTACTACTGTCATCAATACAGTTTTGAAAATGTAAATCAGGTCTGATTTTGTGCACATTTCCTGCACCAAGCTGTGCATCCAGATTTACTACCCATGGTCAGCTTTTTATGGTTCACAATATATTGCTGTATAAATGTCAACTAACACCCACAATAAAGCTTAGCCATGGGGCAGCAGAGAGAAAAAAGTAATTCTGTAGACCCGATTCTGCATCATCTTATTGTGGGAATGCAGGACTGCGGAAAATGAAGACAGAATATTTTATGTGTAACTTAAGTTGCTGTCAATCAAAACCAGGCAAAGACTAAACTGGCCACATGGAAAAGAGGGCGCATGCGTCACGGAGGCAGGAAGTGATGCACCTGCAGACCTTCTCTGCTCCGTCACTTTTTTCAAGAGGCCCAGGAAATGTCAGGTCATGGCTGCTCCCCACTTACAATGGCAGTGACTACAGCCAGGTCTGAAAGGGCTCACTTTTGTTCAGAGCAGACTCTACATCGTTGAAGAGGGGGATCAGATCTTCAGATTCCAAAGTTCCTAGGTCAACGTTCGTTCCCGGAAGACAGTCAAGGAAATCAGGGAAGCGGGTCTGCTGATGGTTGATGTTCATTGGTGTCTGACCTGCATTTTCTCCTAGAGCAAAATGAGAGGAGAGGCATTTTAATTCCTTCTCGTAAGTCCTTGAGAGAGAGTTCAACTGTTAATATAACATCCTCTCCTCTTCAGACATCTTACTAATGGTCCCCTCTTGTAAGAGGTGCTGAGATGCTGGAGGAATCTGGAATAGTCTGTGGTGGACTCTCCCAGAACATGAAAGTACAGGGTGAGAAAGGAGCACACAAAAGGCACTGCAGGTCAGACCTGCGCTCTGTGCCTTTCCGTCACAGAAGCACGAAGAGCTGCTCTGACAGGAGAGAGGACTTGCCGGTATTGAACACCTTACTGCAGAACTATACTCTGTGAGTCTAACTGTAGCTGCCTTACCCACATCATTCTTTATTTGCATGGATAGGAGCATCAAGTTTCTTTTAACCATGGTATTGAAAAGCTATTTCTATTGATGGCTTTAGGCCTTGTTTAAACAGCAGACTTTGCAGGCCTCTTCCTCCCTCCACGATGCACACACCCACGAATCTCCACCTTTCTCACAGCACATGAGTCATAACGCACAAGAGTGTGTCGAGGTTCTGAGTCTTACAGTAAAGAAATCCACTTTATTTTGTTTAAGCCACTATTTCCTAAACTCATTTAATTACTTAATCCTATTTTGGCAGAATGTCTATCCTAGTAAAAGTACACAGTTGAGAAAATGCTAGAAAGTTAAGGGTCTGGAAAATGAGATAAAGAATATGTGTTCTTGCCGGGCTTGGTGGCTCATGCCTGTAATCCCAGCCCTCGGGAGGCCGAGGCAGGAGGATCGCTGTGAGTTTGAGACCAGCCTGGGCTACACGGTGAGACCATGTCTCAAAAAGCAAAACAACATAAAACAAAAAAAGAATATGTGTTCTTGAGCTGGGGACTTAGCTCAGTGGCACTGTGTCTGTCTCACAAGAGCAAGGTACTGAGTTCGATCCCCAGAACAACAACAACAAAAAGTATGTGTTCTTTCCATGTCACAGTACTGGAGAAAACGCACAGAGATCTTGTATCATTAGAATGATCTTTTTATCTGTGCAACCTCACTTTCCTTGTCTGGTTCTCAGTTTACCTATCTAGAAATTGAGATCACAGTATCGTCTTTCCAAGTTGGAATAAAAAGCCATATGGTATTTACCACACAACCAAGGCTCTAGGGGTCATACATATAAAATTATACACACACAAATATAATACATATCTTTGCCCCTGGAACCGGGGATTGAACTCAGACCTTGCACTTGCCAGGCAGGCAGCAGATAATACATATTTTTGATTGTGCTGAAAGAAAGAAAATCCAGGAACTCAACTATTACTCATTACTTAATAATAGAGCAAGTTAATTCAAACAGCCCAAAGGAACAAAATCTTTCTCAAAGACTGAGGAGCACTGGAATCTGAAGCCAGCTTTCACAATAGCAATATTGAAGAAAACTTTGTATGAGCTTTTACTTTCTGCCCCGCCCCATCAGAGATTTAACTCAGAACCTCACACTTGCCAGGCAGGTGAGGTGCCACTGAGCCACATCCCTGGTCTCTTGTATTAGCTTTTATGTCTTGTAAGTAAGTGCACTGGCTCTCCTGAAAACTACATCCATAAATTTTACTATTCCAGGAAAAATTGCAGAAAATTTATTTCATTCGAACATTGTTGCATTTTGATGGTGGCAAAGCACAATGGTTTTGCTAGAAGTCACAAAATATCAGTGACTCTTAGGCAATGTCTTACACAATTTTTAAAGGATAGTAATTAGAAAAATGAAATCAAATTCAGTAACAGACCTCAGTATAATGTTATAGATCATGAAAAATACTTCCTTCTACTCATTAGACTTTAACAGATGGAAATAAGGTTTTAAAATTTACTTGATCTAAAAAACTATCTAATTTAAAGGCCTGGATTTTTTTTTCATCTTGAACTGAAGTCATCATTGTCTTTTTTTTTGGTACCGGGGATTGAACTCGGGTCCTCGTGCTTGCAAGGCAGGCCACCGAACCGCTGAGCTAAATCTCCAGCCTGAAGTCATCATTCTCTTTTATTACTCAAAAATACAAACTTTAGCTAAACAAAATCACATAACTTGAAGAATTCTTCCTCTTCCTTCTCCTCAAACAGGATAAGTATGAGACAAGTTAGGCATCCTCACTAGGGCTAAAAATCTTAAAATACATCTTTGTAGAAAACAATAACTCTGCAATACTTACTTACTTATTTATGGGAGGGGGGGGTTACCAGGGATCAAACTCAGGACCTGGACCTTGCAAGGCAGGCGGCGGAACCACTGAGCTAAATCCCTGGCCCTACAATCTTACAGTGATCCTTTTGGTCTTTGTACTTTTGTCCACTTAAAAGTGGATGAAGCTGGATGTGGTGGTGCTTGCTTGTATTCCCAGCACTTGGGAGGCTAAGGTAGGAGGATCGCTACAAACCAAGGATAGCCTGGGCTACACAGTGAATTCAAGGCCAGGAGTAACTACATAAGAGACCCTGTCTCAAACAAACAAAAAAGTGGATGTGACCAATAAATAGGCAATTTCTGCAGAGGTCCGGAATATTCTCGAAGGACGGATGGCTGCCCAGCCTTGGCTCATGCCAGTCCCCGTGCTTCAACTGTCACACAAAGCCCAGCTCTTATTTCTGAGTGCGGACTGATCCCAGAGTGTGGTCCGTGACCCTAACACGCCATTTCTGGCTAAGCTTGAGCTCCGGCTATCCCAGCTTCTCCTTGGGTTGTTACTGGCTAATTACATCTCACAGAGGTAACCCTAATCCCTGAACTCCATGAGTCGACTCTCACTTAACCGGGTTAACCTGGAACTCCGACATTTATCCAGCCCATTTTGTACATTACCTCGGCCTTCTCAGGAGAGGCCGAGAACTCTGTGCTAAGCTCTGTGATCTCATGAGTCCCCACAGTCCTCTGTGCAGCGAGTCACATAATGAAGCCAAAATCACTACCAGGAAGTAGAGAAGAAAGCATTCACTCATGTTGCCAGTCTGCAAAGAGTGTGCTCTTTTTAGGAAACCGCTTAATTCTACATTATGGTTTCAAAATGCTCTCCACTTACCCACCTGAGGTCATTTCAAAAAGACATAAAAAAGAATCCTCCACCTCTTTTCCCCCCCTTTTTTTTTAGATCCCCTAAGATTCCTTTTTCTTATTTAACTTCATTTCTTTTTTTATCCTTGCTGGCCTCCCAGTGTTTAAAAGATATAAGTAAACAGCTATTAAGCATAGGAAGAAGCCACTTAGTAAGGCTGTTGGCAAGGGAACAAATAAATCTCACACCAACAAACAGAGATGAATGGGGTGGGGAAGGGGAAACTGCAGGAATAAACTGAAGAACAGCAAAACAAACAGTTAAACTATTCTTGTATGACTCCTCCAAAGACAGGCTATACAATGCTCTAAACACACGAATGGCAGCTTCAAGAAGACCCTGGAGAAGCTGCTCCAGCGTTCCATGCTTCTAAAATGATAGCTACTAGGTCACTCCTGGGCTCACCAACAATTTAGACACAGCACAAAGAGACGACATCTAGGAGGATAGTGTAACCACAGGCACAAGGGACGAATACATTAGAAAAGTAATTTTTTATTTTCATCATAGGACAAGGAAGTTTCTATCATCACAGATGGTACAGAAAGAACTTGCAGGAATACCTCCCAAGAGTGGACACCTCAGCGCTTCTGAGTCTAGAATCCATTTTTGAGAGTTTCTGATTTTCATAATTAAGTCTAGATTAAACTAATAAAGATAAGCCAGGGATTTAGCTTAGTGGTACCGCGCCTGCCTTGCAAGCACAAGGTCCTGAGTTTGATCCCTGGTACCCAGAAAAAACAAAACAAAACAAAACAAAAAAAACCCCACAACTCTACATTTAAACTAATAAAGATAAATTTGATGCCACACTCCTTGAGTATAGAAGAAAATGAGAGATGAGCAGGAAGGCTGCTGAGCCTTGGCCTAAAGGAAGCACAGTTTGGAGACCAGGAAAAGTCACCTTGGTCCCTTCTGTGTGATCCCAAAGGGAGGACCTTACTACCGTGCAGAAACGTGGAGCTGACCATTTAGAACCCCTCTACTTGCTTAACTTTCTAAATGCTCATTTCCAATTGCTTCCCAGGTGCAATGAATGACATGAAAATTCTTGCATGTTGGTGAAACTGTAAATAGCACCCTTTTCTGGAGAAAAAGTGGTCCGTACATTGCAACTAAAAATCAAGAGCCGCACAAAGATCTCACTGTGAAAGACAGGCAGAACAGACAAGGTTCTCCTAGCACAACTGTGAGGAGCAGGCCAAGTGAAGGAAGGTGAGTTTTTAAAAAATAGAAGTTAAAATCCTGCACCCCTATGTAAAACTGTATTTGTATAAACCCTGGAAAGGGGACTAGAGTTTATTTAGAGTGGCTTCTCAGTTGTCATTTTGTGTTGTTGAGATTCTTGAGGTTTTTGGCTAAATTTTAGAACCAAGATGACCAGAAGGACAATCTAAAAATAAACACATGCAAGTACTTGAAGGCTGTGCTCTTACCTGTATCCATCTCATCCACATTGCTGAGGAAGTCCTCCGGAGTTGTGGGGACACTGTAGCACCCCAAGCCCAGGCCACTGTCCGTGCTCTGTTCCCTTGAATGGTAGGGCCCTCTGAGGAGCAAAAGATGGAGACGTCTGTGTGAGGCCACTAAATAAAATCCACAGTGAAAACAGTCACAGAAACTCTGTACTAGCCCAAGTCTACCCTTCTGCTCCATTTCCCAGGGAGTAAAGGGGAGAAGACTCTGTATTTCCCTTTGATTTTGAAAAATACAATCCAATATTAATGAAATTAATAAATTATAAGCAAATAAAACTGACTAATGCTGGGGATTTGGCTCAGCGGGTCCGCCACCTGCCTCATAAGCGCAAGGTCCAGAGTTCAATCCCTGACACAAAAAACAAAAACCAAAAACAAAAACTGACTATTCACAGTACAGTGACACTGATTTCCTCTTCATTTCCAAATAACCATGTGGACACAGCTCTACATTTGAGTACGATGCTATTTATATGAAAATTTTTAAAAGAAAGCAAAGTTGAATACTGCACATGGATACACACACAAATGGCAGTGAGAAATGTGTGTGCAAGAGACACATCAGTTTCTGCACAGTGGTCACCACTAGGGAGTGAAGAGACAGAAATGAGGTGCCATGGTGGTGGAATGGATTTAATATTTTATTTGCGAAATAAGACTGGGTAGAAATAAAGCAAAGGTGGGGAGTTGGTTACATGAGGTAACTCCTACATTATTCTTCATATTTTTTAAATACAAATCAACTTAAAAATGTTTCACCATTATTTTGATTGCTGTTCATTTTCACCTCTCTATCTTTAATTGTCCTTTCTAGTTTCCCAGAAACTTCTTCAAAGGCCAAAAAACCCACAGGAAATAGAGTATTCCCTGTTGCTGGAATTTAAAAGGCTACATTTAGGGTTGACTACTTCTACTCATGCAGATATTTGCGATTAAATTATCTTTTCACTCTGCTCCAATGTTTTCTTTTTTCAAAACATCTCTTTGTTCTAATTAATTTTTAAATTGTGAAATAATTTTAGACTCAAAAGATGCAGAAACGGGTACTGAGTCCCTGTGTGGGCCTCCAGTGATAACATCTTACACAACCCACAAGAGAATTATCCAAACCAGGAAACTGACATTGTGTACTTTTATCTAAACTATAGGTCTATAGTTTAGATAGTTTTCACATTTCACTATAAACATCATCTCTTAATTGTTTTGTTCTCAATTTGCAATGGACACATTTTTATCCTTTTGTTGATTATATAACCCATGAGATTCTTCCAAGTATAATTATTAGACAATACCATCTTGTTTAAATTAGAAGTTCATCCCATACTCAAATTATTGACTAAGGTTTACTCCACATCATATCACTCATTTTTTTAATCCGAGGATTTTATAAAAGTAAACGACTTCCTCTGCTTTCCTTTTTGGTGACAGCTCCCCACAATTCCTCCCTTCACCCGCATCCTCAACCCTCCTGCTTTTCCCAAGGTAAACGGAGACCCCTTACAGCCTAGACCACATTATAAAGACAACAAAAATTAATGGCCCCGACTTACCCGTTGAGGAAAGGGTCTGAGCTATTATTGGTGATGGATCTCATGTCTGGGGTCATGGTGGGCGGGTTGACAGCAGCCTGGACGGTGGCCATGGTCTCTGCTTCCATGGGGAGCTGTCTGCAGAGGGCAGCTTCCTATTAGGAAGACAATCAGAGGGAGCAGGGAGTGAGTCCCTGTCACAGGATGGGAACAGAGTGTGTGTCATCAGAAGCTGAAAACTGCTCACCATATCAAAGCACTTCATATATATATATATATATATTCCCAGTTAGTCATTAGTGGTCTCCCGCTGAAGAAAGTCTTAGTGATACGCTGCTTTCCTACATTCACAAAGCTAAGGGGAAGCTCAGCCAACAGCTGGCCTCAGGGTACTTACTTCAAAATTGCCTCACCCACCCATGCAATTGTTTAAGCGCTCAAAGAGCAAAACGGCCTCTCAGCCACTTCCTCAGAGACAAGCGCATTTCTGTTCCAGCTTCTCAGACCCTGTCTAACTCAGTCAGTGACTGGATTCCTGTGGACTAGCAGGCACATTCATTCTAGTCTTTGTCACTCACGCACAAGTCAGTGAAGCGGTGGGATGATAGAGTTTGGACTCTACGTGAAACTACCTCTGGCAGTTTATGTTTAATAACCAGAACAGTGAAACCAGGAAAAAGTTTTTTAACGAAGTCTATGCATTTCTCTATTTGATATATTGTTGACTAAGTAAATTATATATGTATCTGATGAGCAAAAATATATAATGCAAGCTTTATTTTTAAAGCAAGTATGTCTTTGCTAAAGGTTATGAATTTATTGAGTATAGTACTTTCTCTGGGTATCACCAGCAAAAGCCTCGCCCATTTTGACAACCATGACCAGGCACCAAATTTGCTGCTGTTTCCAGAGAATAATACTTTTGTGTGCTTGTACTTGCACCCAACACCAACGTTAGGCCCTTCCCCAAACATATGCCTATCAGTTTTCCACTTTCCATGCTGAAGACACTGGTCTCAACTTCCCGCAGGCCTCAGAACCATGGCTACAATGGCAAACAACTTGTAGGCCATTTGAGCTACAGTATCTGTTAGATCTCTTCCAGCCCTAACATGCTATGACTTTATAGGGTAACTGCTGTCTAGACAAGTCCCAGTGAAGTCATCAGCTATAAAAACTAGAGTTCACTGTGCTGTTACTAGGAGTTAGGGAAGCCTGACTCACAAACCGTGAGGGACCTGACCGATAAGAAACTGCATTGTTAACTCATATGAAAATTAAACACTGGCTAGAAAGGACCTCTGGTTCACTTCTGTTCACCCAGATTGCAAAGGCACAGAACATTTAACCAATTTTTTGTTTGTTTGTTTTATCTTGGTTTGGTTTTTGGTACTGGGTATTGCACTTGGGTCCTTGTGCTTGTGAGGCAGGCAGTAGAACCACTGAGATAAAAACCCAGCCCCATTCAACCAATTTTATGCAGTAGCCAGTAAAAAGGAAAATTTTAAACACAGTTTTTTAAAAGATGATTTTAGTCCATTATCTAAATCCCAGAAGCAGCTTCTGTACAAATCTAGAAGAGTTAAATTATATTCTGAGAGTTGTTTCTACATGGCAGATAGCGCATCCTAGAAAGTTTATTATCCAACAAAGCCTTTCTGAAGTTTTACTAGAGCAGAACAACAGGGATTGAATTGGTATGAGGAGCCTGGAGCCTAAAGCCCCAACCAACCAGTCAGGGACGCTTGCACATCCTGAGGCTCAATGTGATGTAATTCCAGTTCTTTCAGTTTTGGAGATTGAAGCCAGGAGCCTCTGCGCTAAGATACATTCCCAGCCCCACCCCCACCCCTGCGTTCTCTCCAGGCAGGTCTCGCTAAGACATTAGGGCACCCAGGCTGGGCTCAAACTCACCATCCTCCTACCTGAGCCTCCCAGAGTGCAGGGATTACAGATGTGTGCCATCATGCCTGGGGTAATTTTTAGTTCTTTATAAACTGTACGGGCAAGAATCCTTTGACTAATAACCTTCATTATCCCCCCCGCAAAAAAAGAGATCAGCTTTCTCCCAAATATTCTATTCATCAACCATTCTGAATAAATGGGAAGCTTACTTCTACACTGATACCCTCTGAAACGCAGAAGTTGACGAAGATGGCTGCATGGTTTTATAGTTCACAAAGTTTTATCACCATGTATTTTTAAAGTACAGGTTCAACACAAAATTTCGAAGAGCTCTGAATTTAAATATAATAATCACAACTAGAACTTCATGGAATTAATAATAACAGAGTACACAAATTATTCATTATCTATAATGACATGAAAATCAAATTTAAATCATAAGAAAATGTAACAACTAGATATAAAATACATAGTTCTAGACCTTCTCTTTCATTTAAATTACTGAGCATAATTCAAATAGATACAACATAAAATTATGCTTGTATATGGCCAAATATATAAATAATAATATTCGAATGGCTTACATAATAATGAAAGCTGCAAGTCTGCACAGTATGCTGGGGAAAATGTTTCACTGTTGCACTTCATAATCACACCATACATTTATTGACTGCTTTCTGTTTGTTTGAGACAGAGTCTCGCCACATCATTCAGGCTGGTCTTGACCTCACTGGGTAGCCCAGGCTGGCCTCAAACTTGCAGTGATCTTCCTGCCTCAGCCTCCTGAGTGCTGGGATTACAGATGTGCACCACCTTGCCCCAGCCTCCTCTGCTTTAGAGTCAAGAAAACTGAAGCTCATTCTTTGTTATTGATGCTGTTCCTAACTACTGTGAAGAACTGACCACAAAGTCACCAGAGGAGGAAACGCTACCTTCTACCTGGAGGGGGTGCGCAGTATCGTTTTCTACCCTCAAATGACTGAGAAATAAGAGCACCGCCTGGATAACGACTTTGAAAAATAAATTAGGCATTCTACAATTACAATTACAATTACAATTACAATACAACACCCCCTCTAAGCCCGGTCCAAGATCACTCTGGGGTCACAGGTCATTCCACACAGCAGCCAGCGACAACCATGTGCCCCCTGCTGCCTGTACCCCTGAATGGAGACTGGGACAGGCCACTGCTGAGGGCTCTGCCCTCTCCCGTCCAGGCTCCCATCCTTGCTGTCCCTCCCACAGCTGCCACTGCACCGACCGCTCCCTCAGCTTGCAGCACACCTCCTCAGATCTTCCCAAAGCCCATCTCCTTACCCCCACCCGATGAATGTCACCTCTTCGGAGAAGCTCCTTCCTGGCCCTTGTTGAAAACAGCCTCACCTCTGTTATTTTCTCTCTTCACCTCTATCATTTTTTTCACTGCACTTAGGCATGTCTTCGCTGTCTGTGTTACAGGAACTTAAGCTCCACGAGAGAAGGGGCCTCATCTGCCATGTTCACGCCTATATTCCTACCACCTCCAGCCATGCCAGGCAAATGGCAGGTATTCAATAAAGATTTACTCAATGACGGCCGGGGATTTGGCTCAGTGGTTCCACCACCCGCCTGGCAAGCAGAGGGCCCGAGTTCAATCCCCGGTACCAAAAAAAAAAAAAAAATTACTCAATGAATACATAAGTGGTTCCCACCCCCCTGGCAAGCAGAGGGCCCGAGTTCAACCCCCGGTACCAAAAAAAAAAAAAAAATTACTCAATGAATACATGACAGCTGGATTCAAATGGAATTGTTTGAAATCCTGATCAGTAGTAAAAGAAAAAAATACACTAAGAACACTCAGTGGCACCTTGAACCATGGACACAATTGAAACAGTAGCTTACTGAATCCACCCTAACCAGCCAGATGCACTCTCTCCTCAGGTAACGGCCTGGCTGCACCTCCTCTCTGTCTAACTCAGGATGAGCACGGTATCAGGAGCAAGGACCCTGCAGCAAATTCTTAGATATAACCCTGGCCCTGCCCTCTTCTAGCAACTTATTTAACCTCTCTAGTCCTCATCTGTTAAGTGTGAATAATACGAGCACCCCGCCCCACAGGGCTGCTATGATGTTAAAAATGCTTAGAACAGTGCCTACCTACCTCCCAAGATCACTTACCAAGTGCTTAACTAAGGACTATTCTTATCTCACGTGCTATATTCCAATCTCAAAAACAATAAAAATAAAAACAAACACTTAGAGTTGGGAGGTAGCTCAGTGGTAACCTATTGCCTAGTGTGTGTGTGTGTGTGTGTGTGTGTGTGTGTGTGTGTGTGTGTGTGTGTGTGAGAGAGAGACACCCTGGGTTTGATCCCCAGTATCACAAAAAATTAATTAATTGATTAAGCAACTTTAAAGTCACATGACTACATGAAACTGCTCCATTTTGAGGTAGGATATTTCTTCCTGGTCAACTTTCACCCTAGTGAGATTAAGCCAAAGCATAAAATTCCTCACAAGGCTAAGAAAACATTTTTTTTAAAACAATAAGTTTATAAACTGTTCATATAACAAAATTAGCTTTGAGCCAGGCGCGGTGATAGACACCTATAATTCTTGTACTTTTGAGGCCAGTCTATGCTACATAGTGAGTTCAAGTCCAGCCCACTGAACTACATACTGTAGCAAGATGCTGTCTTGAAAACCTATTAAGAAAACAACAAAACAAAACCTATTTAGACTAGTAGTAAGCAACAGTTACTACTTTGGCAGCAATAACCGATGACACAGAGACTTGTCCTCGCGGAAGATTCTACAAGGGAGAACGACCACTGCAGAATGAAGGGCAAGGCCCAAGCCCGTGGTCGCCACGTCCCCAGCACCACCATGCTCCAAACTCCCCATCTCAAGTAGCAGCGGCCATTGCTTCTCTAGGTATCTGAGCAACCTCTCCACCTCTTCAACCTTCATGTGGCAGGCAGGAGGCAGGTTTCTGTTAACACTTTACCAAGTGTGACCAGAGAAGAACTCTCATGACTGTGAGGAGTTGGGATAGTACATCCTACGACAAAGCAAGGTACTGCTTAACCACAGCTGACTCAAGGGACACACCATGGCCCTCAAACTACAAGGGACTGTCACCTGAGAGAAGAAAGAGCCTTTGAAAGGGGGGTTTTTGTGCCCTTTTGGGTGTCCCTTCCCAATTAGGCCACACACGCACCGAGAGGTCCGGCAGGAGATCTTTATTGTAGGGAGGCGAGCAGGAGGCAGG